GTGTGTTCAACTTCCGACCGCCCGGGTCCATGGCAGATTGGATCCCATTGGACCCGAAACCCGCCATCTTTGACTCAAATTACTTCTTTCTGCTAATTTGACCCCATAATATTCGAACTGAAATTACCACAGCAACTATTTTTTAATTTTTTTTATGAACTCTTATAAAAATTAAAAAATATATTTTAAAATTATATCATTTTAATAAAAAATAATATTTATTTATCTTATCTTTAAATTTTTTTTAAATATATTTTAAAATTATATTATTTCAATAAATTTTTATTAAAAATAATTAAAATACTTTCTTTTTAAAATATGAATTAAAGTTTTTTTAATTATTTTTTAAAATATTTTATTAAAATGATGTAATTTTAAAATTTTTTATTTTTTAAAAAATAAAACAAATAAATACTAAGTCCTTTAATAGATTTATATAAAAAAAATAATATAACATATATTTAAAGTAAAATAAATTATTTTAATATTTTTCGTGGTACTTTATTTGTACAGTCATGAAAACATTGACATCCCCCATCCAATTTCCTATTAATTCCATCATTAATTCTCCACAGAATTGACGCTCCTTCACCAATTAATTCAGAAAACATTCATGTTTCCCCCCATTTATTTTTCCCCTGTATAACAATTAATTTCAACTACCAAATTGCTCTCAAAAATTAATAATGAAAAACACCAAGAAAACATCTTCCACCACAACAACGGAAGAAGAAGAAAAGGAGATGGAATAGTTGGTTTTCCCAAATAATTGCAGATATCTGAAGGAGAGGTACACAATGGAGAAGAAAAAGGTGGTGGCCCCTTTTCTGCCCTGGAGTGGTCCTGAACAAGTCTGGGAAATTATCCCCACGGATTTAAAGCAGGGAAAAAGATGCCCTTCAATATCTGGCATCTGCCCTTATTTGTCCTAAACTCAGTACCCTTTCCTTTTTGGATGCCTTTTCTTTTTCATTTTTATTAGTCGGTTTTGGTTCCTTTGTGGGTGGGTTGGCTTGTTTGGGACCACTCCTCCCCTTCAAAGTTGTATTTGTCGTCTTGTCCAAAATTTTTTGCACATGGGGTACCCCTAAAACTATAGGACAGTCTTAAAGTGCCCTTAATTAAGGCCTTAACTCTTTTATAATGCTCAATTTTCAGAATTTAATGGGGTCATTTGTGGACAAATTGGTCCTAATAGTGACCTTAATTCTTAGTTTTGAGCTGTGCTTTTTAGATGATGTTGGGTATAACGGTTTGAAACCAATGCTTAGTGGCTTCACTTAATTTAATTGTTGATAATAATAATTATTATTATTAATTCAAATACTTTGTTTTATTAAATTAGATAAAACTACTAACTATTAATTTTAAATTGTTATATATACCAAATAGTGTCTTAATTAAGGGTAGAATAGCATGCCTTGTGCTCTGTCCAAAAGGGTTTCAGCACCGACTTTGCCCTAGAGGGAGAGGCCAGCTTCTGATAACCTGTACAGGGCCTCAATGTTTGTGTTTGTGACAGCAAGAACAGATACCTAGAAATCAAATTATTAATAATCAAATTGTTAAATTTCAAACAAGAACTGGTCATGGGTTGTTTGCATAGGGTTGTGGATATGATTAATTTGGTTTAACTTAAATGAGTTTGCAATGATCTTTTAATTCTTTAATAATGATGTTAATTATTTCTTATTTCATAACTCATAATAATAAAAACATTTTATGTGTACCAACAAAGTTTTTTTTTTTTTAATTGCATAATAAAAAATAATCATTTCTCATTTATTTCTAATCCCTGTCATGCCATACGACTCGAAATATTTTATATGTACCGACAAAGTTAAGTAATTGATTTAATAGTAAGATTATAACTTTACAATCATAGTTTTGCTGATGAGTGCCAACCTGGCATTTCATGGGGAGTCATGTCAAGGATTAAATCTCATCCAAGCTGGAAAATTCTGGTGTGAACCGAAATCTAAAGAAACGGACGCAAACCAAACTCATTTATGTGCAATCACTTTCTTATAGTTAGTAGGGAAGGTTTTCTTGGATTCATCAAGAACAAACACCACAAAAAATAGAAAATGCAAGCTAACCAACAAATATGGTAGGTTGGATTGACACCACAAATCCTAGCTAATAATTGAAGATTTTGTGATTTGTTGCTGTCTGCCGCGTTTGCCTGAGCAAAAATGACTAAACAATGGGATCGATACACGCAATACTAAAGATCGTGAAACAGCTTAGAACATTGGTAGAAGAAAGTTTGGTTTTTGCCATTATGAAGTAAGATGGGGACACACTCCTTTGATGGCCATTTAAAAGTTAAAAATTTAAATTGAGTGAGAAAAAATTTGAAAAAAAAATATTATTTTCTTTTATATAATTCATAATTAAATATAAAAAATAAAATAAATCGAAACATTTGTAATAATAAAACTTTGTTTTGGTCTTAATTAAGTTATGTTGTAATGATCATATATTTATACCAAAATAAAAAGATTAGAAAATAAAATTTTATAGGATAGAGCCTATCTAGATTTTCAAATTCCATAGGGGAAACAAAGGTGAACAATTTCATTTTTTTTTTTCCAAAATCTATTTAGTGGGAGAGAAAAGAAAAATGGGACAGGTTTTTCATGTGCACGGATGAGGTTGAAATGGACTCTGATGTTGATAATTTGAAAGGGTATGTCGATCAGGGGACAAGGTGGGACTCAACTCCTTTGATGACTGGAATGGGCAACGTTTCATACTTTCATGATTTGCATCCAATCACAGTTACAGTCACAATTTGATTGTCGGACGGATTTTTGTTATACTACAAGTAAATATACAATAAATTTATCTGATTTTATTGATATTATCGATCAATTTATAATTGGTTAGAGCGTTTAAAATATATCAATATATAAGGTGATTCTAAACGTTTTTTAAATATATCGAAAAGTTAATTGTTTAGCATCATATAGGTTTAAATTTTTAACTTTAACTCAAAATTAAAATTTTTTAGTTAATAGATACTAATTCAACTAAGTTCTTGTTTATAATTAATTTTAATTTATTAAATAATAAATATTAATTATTCTATAAATTGTTAGTTAACATAGTTCCAACTATTAGTGCTCCTAACATTCAAACTAAAGAAACTTGCTATATTTTTTTGTGTCCTTAACAAAAGTTTATGTAGCCATAACAGTGGCCCTTTACATCCTAATTAGCAAATTACATAGTAAAATGGTTGATATTAGGATTTGCATTGCATTTTTGTATAATAAACACTTAACTAATAGTAATGTTTCCTTTAATTGTCATGCAAAACTAGTCCACATGTGGTATAAACATTTCAAATTAGTATATCAAAATATGAAGTAATATTTTCTTATATTTTTTTATTGGAATTTTTTTTTTCTGATTTCAAATTAAAAAAAAAAAAAACTCAAAAATGCCTAAATGAAGATGAAATTAAACTACATAATCATAGTTACCTTAGATTAAAGGGTTAATTTAGTTAAAACATAGATATCTATATATAGCACAAGTATTTTAATAAATTACCGAACTTAAAATTAATCGATAAGAAATAAGAAAACTTGTGTTAATTATTACTTTTTAAAAAAACAGAGGGAATTATGTGTGACAAGGGAAAAGGGGATTGGGGTACAAGGAATTCCAGTGGCATTGGTGTAACACCCACAGGGTGACCTCCCAAGCTATGGGCCAAGGGTGAAGCTTATGTTAATAATAAGACCAAACACAAAAAATAATTGATTGCATTAAAAAGTAAATCTTCTTACTCTCCTACCTTTATAACTAATTATGTCAGGGATTAATCGCTAACAAGATAATTATTTATTCATTCTGTCGTCTTTACCCCAAAAAAATAATAATAATAATAACAAACCAAGGATGTTGCTACTATTATTATAAAAAATATATATGGTGCATTTTTTTAACTCTTAGTAAAATAATACAAAAATAAAACACATCGTAACTTTAAAATTGATAAATATAAAATTATATATAATTTTATATATATCACTTAAGGTGATGTTATAGGGATAATCTTTTTACCTCGTTTTTTTATACAACTTTCACATGTCATTAAATGAGTGGATACATTTAATATTGCGGGTTCTATATGAATTAAAAGAATACAAAAAAGTGAGACAAAAAAATTGTACGAAAAGCATTTTCTTATCACTTAACTAGGAATTTTTAATTTAAATTATTGAATAAAAATAGATTTATTGCTATTGATGGCTCTCTTTCATACAATAATTCTTATTTG